CGTTAAATAAAGGAAAGAAGAAGAAGAAGAAGAAGAAGAAGAAGAAGAAAGGGTCACGTCTAGAGAGTAAAAATTGATATCCAATGCCATTTGGAAATCGATGTTCAACTCCATTTTGAAATCCAAGATTCACAATTTCAGAAAAAGTGGGACATACTGTAAACTACCCATCAATATTGTACTTTTTCTGTAACCCGATGGCCAGCATCTTGGACTCCAAAATGGCATCGGATATTGAATTTCAGCATCAACGATGTTCCCGTTCCGAAAATCCCATATTGTAGGGTATTTGACACTTTTCTGAAAACCGATGACCGCCAAATTGTATTATCGGCATCTACACTGAACCAAAACATCTGCCATACTTCGAATGATTATTGCATTGCTCGAGCCCTTTAACAATAAGCATTCGAATTTCGGATGATTTTCTTATGGTTGAATTCGTCGTCAGATAATGAATATCCATATGATTGTCATGCAAATACAGGATGGTTTTCGTTTGAAAATTGGCTATAAAACATACGGCACTTAGAGGACAAACATTAAAGAATATTGTGACATGCAAGAGCTTTTAATTAGATTTATAATTTGATTATCTACATTTCCATACTGAATAGCCATAATCTGTCATTCCAATCATGGATACAACAATTCTTCGATGGTAGAGGAACCTTCCTCCACCACGAATTAGCCAAACATTGGTTTTCACGCTTTACCTATGTTCGTAACAGCTCTGATAGCGAAGGCTATGCTTCCACCTCAACTGTCAGCTCAGATCAGCAAATGACGTTCGACAGAATTATTTACATCATCGTTCTGAATGATTTGCGTTATGGGCTGAACCAATGCCACATGCATTTCCATTTAGTATGACAATCATTCTGCAGAGAGTATTACGCATTTCAACTGAAGGCCCTATCCCTTCTCATAACAATTTTCATCCTGTAATCGAGAGGAAAATCATCTGATTTCAAAACAACCGTCATCTGGTTGCAGCTATCATTCGGAAAAGCGATTTCAATGTTTCGTTTTGAATGGTCTGAGGTTTCATTCGATCAGACGATAGTGTTTGTGTACAGTGTATGCGTCGTTTCCGTTAAAGCCCTACAGTAAAAGCAACGTAAGAGTATGGACGTCTGTCAAAAGTTGTTCCAATCGAACCATCAAAATGCACAGCTTTGCTCGATTGGAACAGCTTTTTTTTTCAGTTTTGTGATGACAGTCGTTTCCGTTCGTTCCGAAAAAAAACGACATCTTAAAGGGCTGTTCATTAACTACGAAGATTGTTTAGAGGGGGGGGGGGTGCTTGGAAATTTACCACGGCCTATACTAATTTTAAAAATTGTGTATGGTTAATTGTCTACGCGGGGAGGGTGCAAGAATCACAAAAAAACTGTCTACGTAAATAATGAACAGCCCCTTAGGGTATTTGATACGTTTTCTGAAAATTGCTGGCTGCCATCTTGGATTACAAAATAGTGTGAGCCCGTTCAAGCGATTGAAACCTCAGCAGAATCTTGCTGCAGCGGCTATGAATTTCGAATGCCATCAGATGCGTTTCGATGTTGTCTTTGTTGGGCGTTCGGAGAACCTTGATCTTCCGGTCAGGCCAGTTTGTCCGATATGTCCTACTGTAGTGCCTCTGGATCATTGTATCTTGGTTTGGATTCCACTGCAAGTTGTGTAGTTGCTTCAAAACAAAACATTTGAACTGTCAAATTCATCGGGTTGCCAAACATGCCAATCAATTCACAAGCAAACAATGTCAGTCCGATGACTGGCACCCTCAGTACAGTTGCGGCACACGTGAGACACACTGAGAAAAAAAGTTGACGCAAAATGAGTGAGTAGATTGACCACCATAAGAACATATTTTGGAATCTGCAATAATGTTTCATGAAAACATTATGAAATTTATGATTATGAAATAAATTATTTTGAGGACCCCTTGTACCAACAATCAACACGAAACGACGAAACTATCGATTTGAAATTGGCTCACTACTTGACTAGCCTATTGGTCCCAAGCAAATCGATTAACGTACTCCATTCTTGTTGAAATTCTAGTACTACACTATGTTTGTTTTGATTCTCTATGAAAGTTTGACAGATGAAATGAGGGGTTCGTGGATTTTCCCGAGGGGGGCGACACATCTAAATCTCAATTCTAGATGCCCAAAAAATCTCACACTAGCGAATAAATCTTCGAAAAGCCTTCTTTCTTTTCTCGCAGCTACTTGCATTGCGGATCATCTTTTTGCAGGATATCATCAAAATCGTGATAAATCTTCTTTTTATCTACTCAGTGTACGCGCAGCTTGCCACAGCAAAACACAATATTTCCTGCATCGTAGATAGAGTCGTCCCCCTCGGATTTTCCCATGTTTCGAGGGGTGCATCGATTAGCTTGGGACCGAAGATAGTACCAGAGCTGAGCCAAAAAGTTGAGCACCTTTCTTCGGGACCTTCCACATTCCACAAAGCACCGGTTGTAATTGGTTGATATTGAAAAATTGCCGAAATTGCGTCCGTTTTACTGTAGAATGTAAGAAAGGAAAAGAATTGGACCTATACAACTAGGTAATCTGCATTGTGTTTCAGTTTTTGAAGTTCGAAAATGGCTTGGCTAGTTTTAGGTGGCATTTATTGTACTATGGCCGCGAGATTGCTACTTTCGCACATGATTGTTTCGGTGGCACTGGTAGCGACCTGCTGCTTGGTAACACCAACCGGTGGAAACTAACGATTTTAAAATGGCTTATCACTTGACTAGCCTATTGGTCCCAAGCAAATCGATTAACGTACCCCATTCTAGTCAAAGTTCTAGTACTACACAATGTTTGTTTTGATTCTCTATGAAAGTTTGATGGATAAAATTAGGGGTTCGTGGATTTTACTATGTTTCGAGGGGTGAATCGATTAGCTTGGGACCGAAAATAGTACCAGAGCTGAGCCAAAAAGTTGAGCACGTTTCTTCGGGACCTACTAGTCTTAGAGTTACCTCTATGGTAACACCACTGAAGAAGCGGAACACTTTTGTCGCATGTTCCAGTGTCATTTTAACACTGCCGTTTTCACATCCACGGATAATCAGTGAACAGATTCGTCTCGTTTTTTTCTCGTCCAGTTCGTACATGACATTGGCCACCTCAAACCGTGCATCCGCGTTGTCCTGGTTCGCTGCCAGGTATCCAACGTTGATCTCCGCAGCCGATTTCGATCCCCGGCGACTGTGGATTTAAAATGCAATCAAATGCCTTTCGATATTCCTTTCGCCAAGGTCTTTGCTAAACAGCGGCCTGAGGACTCGGTCCGTTTGTACAGCTGGGTGTTTCAGGATCATTGTCTTGGTTCTCGTCTTGGTTTGGATTCCATTGTTGTGTTGTTTCTTCGCCTTTATAGCACAACATTTGAACTGTCAGAATAACTGAAGTCCCAATCTGATGACTGGAACTCTCGGCACTGCCGGCACACTGATCAAAAGAGTAGGCACAAAATAAGTGTGTAGAGTGACCTCACCTTGATCGGCATCACAACAAATCTATAATTTTCCTGTTCGTCCGTGAGTTTCAGCTAACGAAAAATAATCCAGAATTTGCATGCCTTACAGCAGCTTTTTTCAATATCAATCGAACTGTTTTCATATTGCAGCATAATGAACTCAATTTTAGTTCAGTTTTTTTTTCAAGTTTGGCATTTTGATGTGCACTTATACCATAGAGGTAACTCTAAGACCAGAAGGTCCCGAAGAAACGTGCTCAACTTTTTGGCTCAGCTCTGGTACTCTCTTCGGTCCCAAGCTAATCGATGCATCCCTCGAAACATAGGAAAATCCACGAATCCAGACTTACTTTAGGTGTTGCACAAGGTTCTTTAGCTACGCCAATCTTCATTTGCTACCGATTTAACTCCCACTAAGTAAGAATAATAAGTCATACAAAACTAATCTACATACCATTATACCGATCATCTAACTCCCCCATGTATTCTAGAGATGGCTATCGCATACCTACTTCTTCATCCAAGCAGCTCTACACAGCAATCTCAAACGCTCCAATTACCGTAGTCATTAATCACACGCCTTGGTTTATTTTTATTATTCCTAAACCAATTAACCTTCTACACATTCAATTAAAAAAAAAACATAACGAACAAACTGCCCAGCTTCTGAATTTCGATGTCACATCCACCACCAAGCAGAACGATGAATGTGTACAAGCATGGCGATGATAACGATTGCCAATCCCGATGATCCACGACCGGAAGGTTATGCCACTCAACCGAACAGCATAATCATGCCACATTTTCGCTGTAACAATTAGCCGGAATTGGCTGTCGACGACTGTCACGCTTCGTCGTTGATGATAACAATAATGTTTACATCTCGTTTAGTTTTTGCCATTCCCTAATGATTTAAGCATTGCTGCCCGTTCAATGAGACGTTAAATTTCGATTCGGTCAAAAATGAAGAACAGTTCCGAGTAAGAAAACGTCTTCCTGTCGTCCGTCCAATTTTATTGCATAGCGATTTGTTCCCCTTTTATTTACAAGGCTGTTAGCCAGGGGCTGGTTCACCATTGCATAGCGATAAATGTCATTAGGTAAACATAAACATAGGTAACCCCACAGTGGTATTTTAAATACGATTTAGTTAGTTTGTTCAAACAATTCTTATCGCATTTATCGACTCGCTAGGGGGGAATCCGTCGGCATTGTTTACACACGTGTTCGTCCCTCGGAACCGTGCAGCGAATTCCGTCGCATAAATTAATCAAAAAAAAAACTCTAGAAAGGGTAACTCCAGTCTTGCTGACTCGGCTGGAATTTTTCATGAGATAAAAAGTACACAAAAGTTCCACGTGGTTCTACTCACCGAAAAAAAAAAACAGCTGAAAGCTGCGCAAACAACGAGTCTTCGCGTCTTTGTTGAAACAATATGTCCGCCAACTTGAACTTGTCACACATCTAAACTGACACTTTCCTATTTCGTTCAATTTCAGAAACCTTGCCGCCGAGGACAAGCTGCCCTTCATCGAGCAGGCCGAGAAGCTGCGAATGACACACAAGAGCCAACATCCGGACTACAAGTACCAACCGCGGCGGAAAAAATCCAAAAAGTTCGGCAAACACGGTAAACACTGCTGCGACGACGAATGCGAAGAAACCACCAGTTCACCTCCACCTCCGAAACCACGTGCCAAGAAGAGCGGTACCGCTGGTACCGCTGCAAACAAATCGAAAACGTCAAACCAGCAAAAGCTTACTGCGTCCGTGATGAATTCCGGGTATGATTTCATCAACCAGCAACCGATCGTCAAAGTTGGCCAGACATCGGATCTGCTGACTCCCTCGTCTTCGACATCGTCCGTGGAGCAATATCCGGGCTATTCGACGGCCAGGGACAACGCGACGAAAATGAACCAAAACGAACTGGTTTCGCGCTACTACGGAGTTGTCCCGTGCGAAATGGAGTCATCTTGTAGTCCACAAAGCCCAAGCGGAGCGTCTATGCATTCTTCCACGGAAGGTCAACCCCTCACCCCACCGACAACCCCGTACACCGGACTGACCAATGTCAAGTCCTTTTCGCCACATTCCCGACTGTCCAGCAATGATTCCCCAGTCGGATACTTCACCCGAAACGACTACATCAACGGTACCGTCACGGACTACCGCACCAGTGAACAGTGGAGCTATGCAGCCAATTCCCTATCGTCAACCTCTGCTTTCACTACGCAACCATCTAGCAAAGAGTTCTACCGCAGCTACCCGAATCAGGTTCACCAGCTGCACGACTCCAGCTCGTACCATCTTCCACCCTCATCCGTCTCACTTCAATCCACCATCTCATCCTCCCCCATTCCCACACTCCCACCGGACTACTCATCCTTAAACTCAATCCCCAACCAAAGTTACCTGATATCTCCGCTGGACCAGGATCAGGTCGACATCGAGCAATACCTGGACAGCCAAGCCGTGGTCAAAAAGTCTCTCACCGAGTCGCTGCTTCACCATCACTCTCAACAGCAATCGTCACCCTCACACCAAGCGGGTCCATCGCTGGACGCGCTGGGCTCCGATCCAACCATGGCGATAGATCCCAGCAGCCAGGCGAGCTCATCAGCACTGTACTACGAAACCGCTCATGGATCTTCGCCGTCGACGGCGACGACGACGACAACATCGCCGCAGCATTCGCATCACATGGCGCATCATCTGCATCATCCCCATCATCCGCACCATTCGCATCACCATCATCCGCACTCGATGGCATCGCACCTGCCGTCCTACTACAGTAGCTGGGGAACAGGGAACTACGGGACGAACTCGTAAGGGGCGAGGGCGTTAGCATTAAGGTATAATTGGTAGTTTGTGTAGCGCTTAAGACAGGTTGAAAGGTTGCACGAAGTTGATTCAAATGGAGTTTAAAGGAAATTGTGAAAGATTAGTTCGAATCTAGAGAGCAGGTGTTTGGAAGTGGGATTAGGTGTTCTGAAAATGCTGAAATAGTTCCAGAAACTGCTAAAGGATGAACACTCGAAAATTTGTAGAAAGTCACAGAATAGTTCGAAGGTTCTTGGAGAAAATCAGGAAGATTAGACCACTTCCTGATTTAGATCGGGGAGTCATTAAGGCAAGTTTAGAGGACCTCCAGGTTTGATTCAGCGGTCTTGTAATGCAAATGCCGATAATTTTAAGCAAAGACGATGATTCCGAAGAACAGTTTAAAGCTGCCAAGAAAAGTTCAGAGTTATACTAAGGAAACGGACGAGAGAGCTTCTGAAATACCTTATGAGAGTTTAGAGCACGTCTTTAAAAAAAATGAGAGGCCTGATAGAACATGCCCAATAGACTTCCACAGGCGTTTCAGAAGTCAGGAGATGAAGCTTAGAATGGTCGGAAATAAACTCCCAGCACGGACCTAAACAGATTCTAGGTGAAGTCAGAAGGGAGTCCTGAGTTTGTCGCTAAACTGCCGCTATTCGCATAACAGTCTCATATCCTGTGGATTTCCTATCTACATGGAACTGTTATGCGAATAGCAGAAGAAAATGGCTTGTATGATAAAAAATCAGCGGACCGAAATCCGGAGGCAAATTGATCTTTTATTAACGTAATTAAGGAAATAAATTTCTACAAAAATCAAACCTGGCATTCATTTGTTTCTATTCAAATGGGTAAGATTTACTCAGTTTCCAAATGTCATTATTTGAGTAAACATTACCCTATTTCCTTAAAAAAAAAATTAGTTTTAAAATGTCACTACCTGAGAAAACCTTACTCTGTTTCCTCCAAAGGCACGATTACTCAAGTTTGAGTAAAAGCATGTTTACCCATTTTTGGGTAACTTCCCTTTTAACTGGACTGAGTGATTTTCGACTCAAATGAGTAGCCTCCAAATAGCGTGTCTTCACAAGAGCACAACCCAAATGCAAATTTTCGGTATGAATTCTAATAAAATGTCTGCAATTTGAAAATTGAGAGTAGGAATAAGAGGGAGATGAGAAAGTGATTTCTGAGCAAGGTTGCAAATGCATGTTCGCGTAACCTTTTTTTTCGTTTTCGTAATTACATTACAGTCACATTCAATGAGAGAAGCACCAACAAATCTGAAATCTGCGTTGGTTAATTGCGGAGTTACGAGAGATTTTAAACATAATACACTCCGAAACACAATTCAAAGGTTTATAGTAAACTTTGGTATAAGAAATTTTCAAAATTCAAGAAGTTTCTCCATTATTTGCCAGACTTCTGTAGAGTTCACTAAACTCCTCTGAAATTCATCCAAATAACTTAAAAGTGATCTCTGAGCCTTTTTTAGATTTATGCTTTTCTAAAATTCATTGAGTTTCTTTGAAGTCCACTGACCTTCTTTCAAATTCAGGAAGTTTATCTAGCATTTACTAGACTTCCCTGGAGTGCTCTAAACTTCTATGAAGCTCTCTGAGCTGTTATGAAATTATCTGAACTAATCAGAGAAATTCCTAAATAATCAGGAATAATGAAAAGAAGAAGCAGCGAAACATAAAGAACTTCTGATACATTTGGAGAACTACTGATAGGTTCTGTGAACTTCGGAGAGGCTCAGAAATCTTTGGAGAGTATTCAGAGAACTGATAAGGTCGTGGAAGTTCTGAGAGGTCTTAGAGATTTCAGTGTTATGAAGGGCTACAAATACTCAAATTGGAAATACAAATTCAAGTGAAATCTGCGAAGTCTCACTCGTGACACCCGGGTAGTCGTAGCAGCTCTGAATTTTGGAAAATATCTGCTGGAAAAAAGTATGTTTAAAGCAAGTAAATTCTTTACTGAAAATTCTTTACTTGTTACCAATGTCTGTATTGACGAATTTACGCGAAACTGCACCAGTGCATGCGACACCTAGGTTTGAAATCCAAAACCACAAAAGTGATGATGTACTAAAAAGTATTCCATACGATTTGACAGGTAGCAAAACGTCATTATCATTTTCACATCATTTCCATCTGCTGGTGGACCGTAACGTAAATTCATCAATAATGTACTCTGTATGAAGTCTGTATCCATCATCAAATGTCTTTATAAATACAGACATGTCTGTATGACTGCATATGATATTCCCAAATAAAATCAAAATCAAGCTGAACATTGCATTAGGTCCTAAGTAATATTGATTGATTCTCTTCGTCGACTTTCTATTTCGCTAATAACTTGACCACAAAACCATTTCTTGTTCTGTTTGTCATATTAGATGCTATAAAAAAGTTTATTTTACCGATCTGTGTGCTGAAAATACAAGGGAATGTTTTTATATTGCCGTGAGGATACAAAAAGGAAGTCGACAAAGAGAATCTGTCAATGTTACTTAGGATCTAATGCAATGTTCAGTTTGAAATGTTTGTCTCTGAAAGGTGTAACAAATATTATGTCTTATTCCGCATTTATGGGAGCTGTTTGAAAACCACGTTATTTTAGATGTTTACAGTTAAATTTTGAACAGTAATAGATGGGCGTTCAAAAAATAGCTAATGCATTTTGGTGCACAGTTTTTACAAATGAAGCGCATATCGATCGCCATGTCTGCACTCAGTTAGTTTTGATTTTTTTTAAAAAAAAAACGGCCTTCGGAGCTGGAGTAACCATGATGACAGACCTAATACGGCCAGTTTAGGAGATTTTAATTACCTCCTGCAAGTCCCTCTAACCACCCATAGAAGATCTTCATCTTTTTTTCCTTTATTTAACGTCGGTCTCTGTTCCGCAATCTAGTGCCAATCACCGACGGACATCGATTGCCATCCATTGACGGCAACCGAATGTGCAGGAAGGCAGCTTCCACACCTGCGTAGAATATCGCACCCATTCACAACAACACACATGGGCCGGGACCAACGGCTTTACTTCCCTTCCGACCGAGACGTGACCAGAGATTTTTATGCCTCAGAAAAATCCCACCGACCTCGGTTGGGATTGAACCCAGACCCATTGGGGTGTTAGAAAGCAGTTACGCTTACCACTACACCACCGGCGCCGGCTACCCATAGAAGATATTTGATCAGTTTTTTTAGAGTTCTCGCGTAACACGAGAAAAGGGGCTATCGTTGTTGATCGATTCTTTACATCGATTTTCTCTTTGCGCGAATAAAGCGCTGTGCAGACTGAGCAGTTATAACATGTTATAACGGTTGTCAACTAATTGCAACACAGAAACCACCATCAAGATAGCACTATGTATGTGGTAAACTATGTATGGAGTGACAAGTTGACAAATGAACAACGTCGATCGGATTCATGTCAATGTTGTTCATTTGTCAACTTGTCACTCCCAACACAGTTTACCTATTTTTGGGTAGGTTCAGTTTTGACCGATCTGGGTGGACTCTACCCAAATTTGGGTAGTTTTGAAATAGCGTGCATAACATCATCTTCTGTCGAACTGTGCTGTAAGCTTAGAGCACCTTCTGCTAGTTTGACAACTTTAGCCATTGCTATTTTAGTTAGCAACTTGTTTACCCACCGGTCGTTGCTATCACGATTGTGAATTTACGTTTTCGGCCTTTGCACCGATGGTTGCTAAACTTATCGTCGAACTTCGAACTGAAATTGATCACAGAGTTTCGGTATTGGTTTTTTTTTCCACAATATTGATATACTTAACCACGAAGACTGAATATTGAAGGTTAAGATCCAACTACAGACCCAGGTACTCAAGAAACGGTCCTCCTGAAGATCCGAATAGCCAGCAATTTTTTTTAAATCACTTGTTGTGATGTGAATGTATTTGAATCTGGGACCAGCATGCGCACACTGGTGGTCACGAAACTGTCCTCTGGGAGATCCGGAACATCGATAAAAGTGGTCAATTCGTAAAAATGATAGAAATATCGATCTTCGTATGCTCATCTTATAAAAGTTGTGCACCAAAAGGCATAAAGGCATTTTCGGATGCCCATCTGGATTACTAGATTCCATATTTTAGCTTGTGAATGCACAAAAATGTTGAAAACTTTAAGAAGTTGGGATTGATAGAAATTTTCGAGAACTTTATGGCAGTTCCATTTATTTCAGTAAAATAGATGAAACCATCAATAAGTTCCGAAAATTTAAGGATAGTAAAAAAATTCAGGGAATGAACTTAGAAACATTAAGAAAGCTACACAGAAGATCCATGTTCTATTAATTTCTGAACAATTCCAGGAACATCATCAAGAAAACATAAGGGAAGTTCCGTAGACTTCAGGAAACAATAGAGATCTTCAGATCTCTGAGAGTCTGAGGAATGAAAAGAAGTACTGAGAATTTCAGGAAGTTTTATTGGCAAACTGTGGGAACAAAAGAAAAGGGGTCTCATAGCCTAGTCAGTAAAGGCACGGTATTACCAAGCCGGAGGCGGCGGGTTCGATTCCCGGTCCGGTCGAGGGAATCTTTCGGGTTGGAAATTTTCTCGACTTCCCTGGGCATAGTGTATCATTGTGCTTGCCACACAATATACAAAATTATGCATTGGTAATTGGCATCGAAAACTCCCAATTAATAACTGAGGAAGTGCATTTAGAACACTAATTTGAGAGCACGCAATAAGCTAATATGCACTAAGCAATAAGCTTGAAATGCGCATAAGAAGAAGAAGAAGAAGAAGGGAACAAAAGAAAAGTTCCGAAAACTTCTGGAAATTTTGGTGAACTTTAGGCAAACTTCAGGATTTTCAAAGTGTTCAAAAAACTGCAGGTACTTTTAAGAAAATTGGAGAAATTCAGGGATATCCAGAAAATTTTAGAGAAGTCAAAATAATCTCAGAGATGTGGAGTTAACTTGAGGAAAATTGACATTTTAAAGAACTTCCAAGTACCTCAAAGAAGTTAGACTAGAGAGCTTTAGGGAATTTCAGAGATATAAACTTCCAATCCAATAACTTCATAACTTCATGAAATTCAAGATATTCCAGACCTTCAGGGAAGCTCGAAGATTTGTATGGGTAAGGTCCGATAAATTCCGGTCAATTCCATAAACTTCAGAAAAACTTCGAGAATTTTTTAGACAGTTCTATTTAGTTCAGGGTAATACTAATAATTTCAATAGAATTGAGAGTACTTCAGGAATGCTTCGAGAGCAGAAGGACTGATAAGAGAAACTAAGGACAGTTCAACTCATTTCAAGGAAATTGAAGAATGTTTAAGAAGTTCCAAGAAACTCAGCGAAACTTCATCAACGTATATACTTTTATTTGAATTTCAAAAACAGGAGAGATGTTACATGAGCATCAGGAAAATTTGAAATCATTTTAAAGGAGTTCCATGGTTTTGAATACAGTTTAAAGAACTGCAAAAAAAAATGCAGGAGCTTCAGCGACGATCAGATTATGTTCAACAAAATTGCGATGTCTTTTAAAATGTTCAGAAATCTTCAAGAACGTCTAGAGACCTTCAGACCTTTGGTAGTTTCATTATATTTTGGGAAGTTCTCGGAACTTCGTAGATGATTAGAGATCTTCATATCAGTTTCATTTATTTAAGGAAAACTGCAGGTATTTCAAGGAATTCAAAGGAATTATGGGATATTTCAAGAATTCCATGAATTTTGCGATGCTTCAGAAATAATGTGAGGTCTTGAGGAAATTTTATAAATATGATTAAAATTTCCGGAACAATAGAAAACTTAATGCACTTCAGGAAAGATTCAAAACCTCACGGAAGTCCAAATTGTCTACTTTTGTGGATGTTCAAAATCTTCCAGAGAACCACACCGCTACCTGATTGCATATGCTAGTCCTAGATCCTAATTAATAACAGAATAAGTGAATCGTGAAGTTCTTGAATCTTTTTTATGAATTGATCACTTTTATGCATGGTCCGGACCTCCCGAAATACCGGGTTGTGACCAGCAGAGTTTGCATGCTGGTCTCAGATCCAAATTCATTAATGTAGCATCAAAATAAGTGATTTAAAAAAATACGGAGCTCTAGGATCTTTTCTATGACCCTTTACGGATGTTCCGGATCTTTCGAAAGACCGTTCCATGGCCCCCAGAGTGCACATACTGGTTTCAAATCCAAATTCATTCATGCAGCATAACAACAAGTTTATTAAAAAAAATCTAGATTTTTTTTTACTAATTTTCCACATTTATGAATGTTCCTGGTCTTTCAGAGGAATGCTTTGCTGTCCCTAGGGTCCTCATTTTTGTCCCAGCTCCAAATTCATTCATATATCACAATGTTCAAATGAAAAACAAAACAAACATTTCATAGATATCAACGCTTGGGCTGGTTGCTATCGCGCTGCTATATTTGTCAACCCGCTTTTGCGCTTTTCCAAATCAAATTTGACCTCGCTTCTCGTAATCCAAATTCGACTGCGCTTTTCCAAGTCAAATTAGACTTCGCTTCTCGTAAGCCGAATTCGTTTGCGCTTTTTCAAGTAAAATTTGACTTCGCTTCTCGTAAACCAAAGTGAGCTTTTCCAAGTAAAGTTTGACTCGCTTCTTATAATCCAAATTCGTTTGCGCTTTTCCTGATTAAAATAATAAAAATAGTTTTTTTTTTTGGGTTTTATCCGAGACTACCCACAACCACATCACTGCCAGACGCTGGCTATTAAGGCTTTGTGGGGCGATTCAATGTTATTTTTTGCGTTTTCAAGACATTATTGGCGTTTTTAGGGTAATTTTGGTGGATCAATTCCTTTTTTAAAATTATTAAACTTTCAATGTTTTAGGAGAGATCGAAGTAGGCCGCGCTGCAAAAATGACCTGTTTTTGTTTCGCTGCTTTTAAAGTTTTATTAAATACGCGCCAATCAAGTATTGCACTACTGCTTGATTGAAAGTTTCAGTACATTATCAATGGTGTATATTTGCATCGATATTGTATTGGAGCGGAGCTTATCATGTGTGAAAATAGCTTCGGAATGCTTACGTTCTTGAAATGGGCTATTGTAGCTGCGGTAGAGCTGTCACCTTCTAACTCCCGGGTTCAAGCTTCTTGCATTCATGAGAGCTTCTGAGTAACTGCAGGTTATTCCAAATCTGAGTAAATTTCGTATGGAAAGAAAATTCTCTGAGTCAATTAATCTCAGTCGCTGAGTTGGTATGATTGGTCGCGTATACACAGTACATAACCCAACTAACAATTTTCACAATGTAAACGCTTTACTCATTTTATTTATACAGCCTCAAGCTGTATTCAAACGTTATACGATATGAGGAAACCTTTACTCAACCTCTATACAAGCAAATCTGGCGAACTTAGTCAGCTAATTATGGTTGTTGGAACAGTTGGGACAAGCTCTTATTGCGTATCCATTAACGCTTCTATACAGCTGTTATCCTGCTGTTTAGCTGTGTGTCAACTTGAAAGGCGCTTAATTCAACCTTTTCCCGGTTATCCAATAATCACTACACAGCTTTCTCTTGAAGCCGGGTTAAATACTGCTAACGATTTTTTTTTATGGATGAATTTATTGAGTTTATTTTCACATCAAATTACACAAATCACAAATAAAATTAATCGAAATTAGTTACTAGTCATCACCAAATTATTTTACCCAGCACCGGAACTTCCAACTAACTTACATTGTGAAAATTGTTAGTTGGGCTGGCATCGAACTCGAGACGACCGCATTGGCAAACCTTGACACTACCAACTGTTCTACGCCAACACTTTGAACTGATGTAAACAAATCAACATGCCCTTCTACAACAAAATCGCTGAGTAGATGCTTTATAATAGTGCACATAAATCACTTTTCTCGACTAGTTACTTCAGCTTTGTAAAGGAGCAGAGTAAAAGCTGTAAAACTGCACACGTCTAAAAATAAACCTAGTTGACTGTGAAAATGCTTCCGAAGTAGCTCTAACACAGTTTATTAGCTGAGTACAGGATTTTTAGTTGTTGCAAAAGCACTTTTGATGTTTATGTTATTCAGCAAGAGTGGTTGGTTGTGTAGAAGCCATCAAATGAGTACTATATTCACTTTATTAGCTTTGTTTTGCAGTAACAAGTTGAAAGTTGATTAGTATGTGTATAAAAGAGACATTAGCATTTTTTGGCTGTTGTTATTCAGTGCGACTGACAGATTGAATAATGGTTGTGAAAAAGTTGAGTAAACGCTCTCCAAAACTATTTTGCTAGCTTCTGCTTGTAGTTGTATCTGCAGCTTCTTTTCAGCTACTTTACAGCACAACGCTGGAAAAGTTGGCTTACAAAGCTGAAAATGTTAGTTGGGAATCGAGAGTTTTCCGGCACGTTTTGATCGAGAGGAACACGACAGAATTGAACCCACTTTGTTTGTTTGTTTACTTCGAGTAACTTTTAATTTGAGCGACTGTCGTCTGCTTCAGAGTCACGGTAAAATGGATAGTTTTTTAACCGTATCGGTAGTATCGCTATTCAATGGAATTATTTGAAGACCTAATTTTTGACAACTCTGAGTGAGACCACATATACCACATTGGATGGTATATTCTACAGAGCGTTGCACAAAATTAATCAATCTGCGATTGTAGCTTCCTATCATATAGGGGAATGTCCGTATTTTCGTCAATCTAAGCAGCGTCTGCACTTCTACTAGCATTTTCTCAGCGTCACGCACATATATGATGTGTCTGTTTGTTTACATTCATCTGCTGCTTGCTTCTCTATCCATTCCAATCGACAGAATTTTTCAAAACGTTTTGAAAGCGTTTTTACAACGCTCCAAACTTCTCAGGTGAGTGTGACTATTGTCGGCAGTCTCTTTTTCTTCGGCAACCTTCCCATTAGAACTGCGTGTTAACCAGCTGTTCTATTATCGGCAACTCGAAATCAACCTCATTTTGTAGTGCGTATGCTTTATTTGAAGAAAAATGTAGCATTACTGGATTGCTCGATCGTTCAAATATAATCAGATTGAAGCTGAAAGGCTAAACAATCGTTTGGACACATTCAGGGAAGTGCGTTGATGGGAAAACATAGTGAAATTAACGTTTAAATTTTGGTTGCCGAAAACAGTCAATGGGTGCCGAAGCCAACATTTACCCTATTAGTGAAATCCCTCTTTTGAAATCTTTCACAAATTTTACTACCTTGAAAAATTTCGCCGGAAACGCCTTGATGACAACCAATCCATTATTCATTTGACAGGTCTTCTGCTTGATTGGAATGACTTTTCCTATGACTTTGACAGACAATCGATTGTTCCTATTTTGACAAGACTCTGACGTTCGTCGAAGTGTGATTGGTCATCTCTTTATAAATTCAGGCTCTTTAGTCTACAGGAGTATACTGCTTTCTTCCAGGAGAAAAAAAACGAACAGCAGTTCAAGACACTTCGACGAACGTCAGAGGCCCTGAACTTCTATTTTTGCTTTCATCAAACTGAGATAATTTCTTTCCTGTAATACGGAACTGGAGAAAATATCAAACATTATTAACCCTCGTAAACTGGGAACCATTTGAATCAACTGCCTTGCAACCTTAGTCATGACCTTAGAAACATTTCGTAGGCTTCGGATTAGGATTAGTTGAGAATATATTTTATAAAACGCATTCGATATTTAAAAAAAAAAACTTTCAATGTACTTCAAGCATAGGGCGTATTTCTCAAGATTGTCAGCAACATAGGGCAGTTAAGCAACTTTTATACGTTTTTAAGGCCCGATTTTCTGAGGAAATAATTGGATAGTCATATCATCAAATAGCCTCAATGGAAAGTTGCTCAACGTAGATGGAATCGGTAGTAACAGGGCACAAGTAAAATTAAGGGTGCGCTGAAATTATCAATACATGATTCAATTAAGTTTTGAGACTTTTTTTTTCCTAGAGCACACTATAAATTTAACACGTATGATAAGTTTAATCTGAAAACAAATTGAGACCATCAATTGCCAGTAAATTATTTTCCTCAAATAGTTAGTTACAGCTGTAAAAATTTTCTTCAATAAACATAAAATAAAGTTTGTAGATCGGATTTCTTTCCCACATAAAACAAAGCCACTACCATTTGCTTCAAAGATTTAGTTGCACTGCTATAAAAACCGCAATCAAAATCAATTTCACCAGCACCACCAAAAATATCCGGGTGTAGTACTTTCGACCCTCCTTGACATCCTTTGCCGCTGTGACCACATGTTCCAAGGCCACCTGAACATGACCCTCGGCCAAATTCAGCATTTTACCGTTGTCCGTCCCCAGGGTTGAGAACATGACGAACAGGTCCCGCATTTCGAGCAAGGATTGTTCCATCGATACCAGCTCCTGGTGCCGATCCACAACGGCGTCCAGAGTGCCACGGGTCTCGTCGACTGTGGCGAATGTTTGATCAGTCAGCATTGGATCCGTGGTGTTGCCGTCGTCATCGTTGCCACTTGGCGGCGGTAGAGTGGTAAGGTCCTCGGACGGTGACACTGACATTAGAGAAGATTGTAACCAGTAAATATACTACATTAACAATAGGAGATTAAAAGCAATACGAACTGTATTGTGGTTACACCTACGTTCCGGTTCAGTGACTAAAAACGTGATGATGGTTCTGTTTTTATTGAATGGAGGTGATACGGAACAACCACAGAGAACAGACGGCCAACTTTGGCCAGAAACTTGTTTAAAAATAAGTGGGAACGTCGCCGTTACGTAGCGCTAGCATCTCCTGATTTTCTCTATAAATTTTCCTCTTTTAACCAATTTGGCGCTAGTATCGATACATTTTCGGTTGAAAATTACCACTTGGCACTTGGTGTCTAGTGTAAGTTGTGCAACGCCAGCGCCATCATGTTGTCAAAGAGGGTTTTTAAGTGGGGAAGTCGGCGTTGGTGGTGCGTAAGTCGAATAGGAATCTTTACACAAGTTTTTACAGAAATTTAGTTTGAGCCTCGACTTGTTCTATTGATTTCTTTCTCTCATGTACCTATATTAACTCGACAGTGAGCATGCATAAGGGCGTAAACGCGATTCTCTTCGTCAATTTTCTCTTTTGTTAATAACTCGCTAGATTTCTCGGTGCGTTTGCTAATGCTTTTGAAAGCCAATACAACCTGTTACAACTCTGCATTGAACAAATTCTAGAAAATTGTTTCGCTTAGCGTTAGCAATGCAAAGAGAAAATCGATGAAGAGAATCGATCATCGCGTATACGCCATTATGCATGCTCACTGTCGTAACTGTCTGAGAACAAATGGGAACACGGCCAGATGTTCAATAGGGGGAAAAAAGCGAGAAAGCGAGCAAGAAAAGAAGAATTAAATAAGACATGTTGGGGACAGCCAATTTATACTGGTCTGAACTGGTAAGTATGATAAGAATTGTGAAATGTGTGTGCATGCTTGATTTAGCTATTTTACGGGGGGTTAGACCCTAGATAAGCCAACTGAGCGGTTGGCATAGCTTATACACTAGACTGATGCAAAATTTGAAATTTTCGCTCAACAGTGCTCAAACGGTTCCAAATTGGGTCCTGATTCTACTATTATAGGAACACTACAACCAAGCATAACTATTCAATTCGACGTATCTAATGTTGTAAACAATCACTTCAATCGACGATTTGTGGCAACTGCAAGCTCACTCACAAAAACTAACAACACCAGCTTGTAGAGGAAAGATACCCCTACCGGATGATAATGTTTGTTTACGTGGGTGAGCTAGCAGTTAAGACAAATCGTCGATTGAAGAGATTGTTTACAAAAGCAGATACGTCGATTTGAATAGTTACGCTTGAATTAATTGTTTCCGTGCTTTTTTGGACATGGCAAATCTACTTTATTTTACGAGAGCTACCTATGATAAAAAATTGGTTTTCTACCATACCGCAACTATTATGCCGCTCATGGCAAGTCCGTCTCATAGCACAAATCAGCAAGCCGACACAAACGCGTTTAAAGTTTGCTTCATTTCCAGAACAAGCTGCCATCTCCATTGAAAAAGAAATCAGTTTTGACAAAACGCAAATGGGACCGACTTGCGATGAGTGGCAGTATAGATACACCACTATTACTGGAACACCTACCCTATAGTTGGTAATCAAGAAGGGATGTTTGTTCGATACTCACCGACCAACCTCTTATCATTGATTTTATCCTTGTAGCGACGTACCACCGCATTGTACTTCCAGTACGCATCAATGTAGGCAGTCTTAATGCTACCGAACTGCGTGCTTCGCACGAGATTCGCTAAGCCATCTTCCTTTTCCGTGTCATCGTTCTGCTGCTTAGGTTTGTCCAGATCCTCCTGCAGTCGTTTGACGGCATTGGAAATTTTGAAGCACAATTTGGCGTTCTCATCTAGCCTTTGACTGACATTGACCGAACCGGTGTCGCCGTTGTCGTTCTCATCAGCGAAAAGGTTCACCTCTATGTCGAGGATGTTCTGCCGCAAGTCATCAATCCATCTGGAGATTTCTGAAAACTACAACGGATTTGAATTTCATCGTTAGAATATCAATGTCGGAACCACCAACTTGCAGGGTCTGCTTCTGGTTGCGCAGTATATTGAGCTCATGCTCGTGGACAACCCCTAGTAACTCGTTCGCAATTTCCAACATCAGCCGTCAGTTCACACCCAAACCAAGTCTAGACTACTCACTCTCACGATCCGCAATCGACTGGTGCTGGTTGATTGCTTTGCACTTTCTTGGAGCGCAATGGCATGGTTTGAAAATTCTTTGGAAACATTCTCACACGGTTCGATGTGCGTCTTATCGTTTTGTCAATACGCCAACAGGAAAAATCAAACACAGCCGGCGATGTTCACGGAACCCAAATGCTTAACACAATGCAATCATTCTAGTATCGTCCTTTTAGGATTTGAGACAAAGTGTATGAGCCTTAGTTATGTATTACCACAGACAAACAGACATAACTCTTAGAAGGAAATTCTCCAAAAATATCTTCAAGCGTATTTTGCATGTACACTAGCAAACAAACATTGTGTAGTAGTAGAATTTCGACTAGAATGGGATACGTTAATCGTTTGCTTGGGACCAATAGGCTAGTCAAGTAGTGAGCCAATTTAAAATCGTTAGTTTCGTATTGATTGTTGCTAGCACCCTTTATTATTCACATCCCCAAGTATTGGTTTGCGACCGGATCATCCCTCGTTCATGCAATTTTTCCCTAGTTGCTTTTCCCTCGATCTGTCAACACACCAGCAGTGTTGAATAAAAACAAAACAGTTTCAAGACAGTGATGTCGGTTTGATTGAATTTTGCAGAAATACGGATCCGCAAGGGATATTCACAGAAGCTCAGACTTTTTAAAGGGATTTGTGTTGTTTGTTTAGTGCAATTTTTCTTTTGCTGAAAACAAGCTTTCAAACGTGGTAATGCATCACCAATGAGTGGCATTTCTAACACCGCTCATCACTTTAATGTGTACACAGCAAACAAATATAATATGTATCAATCTATTATATTCATGGTGATCTATTGAACATCAATAACTGGTGAACGTTGATGGAATATTACAGTCATCAAAACGATTTGTTCTTAAATTCTTGCGTAATATTACTCAAGCGGAATGACCAACGTGCAGCAGTTTGGGTGAAATATTTAACATCTTTTTATTCTGTATCCGACAGATGTGGGATGCCTTGGCCACTTATATTTTTCAAGAGCTAAAATCGATCCTAAAAAAGAACTGGCATCACTGGTAAGTTTGAAATATGGTAGCTTGCTTAACGCTTCAGTGGCGCCACCATGACAAATGCGAGCACATTCCCAACTAAAACCTTATTTGCGATGAATGTGATTGTGAGTGCTATGTTCGTTTGTCTGTGGTATTACCTTTGGTACTACCGTAAAATAGGTGTTAGAATCGATTTCCACACGTCGTGCCGTCTGTGACCGATAGCCATCCACACAAGCTACCTCACCTGTATAAAACATTCCCAATCGATAGAACTCGGCTCGACAGTTTGAGTGCGATATCTTAGAATCAAATTGAACATGAAAAATCGACCCGGTAAGATGAAATTTGCTGATATCTGTATGTGCGTCTCTGGACGCGTTTCATCTAGGCAAGCTTTTTTCTTATTCTTAGGCTTATCCGATCAATATGGTTGATACGTGCATGTCGTTTAACTCCGTTTTTTATGTAAGGGGCACTGTGCATTTTCACATGATGAACGATAAACCCCACATGCGACATTTGATTTTACTCTCGTTATGTACGTTAAACATAGCGTCGGACATAGTGCGCACTATATCGCATCTTTGTGCAAATACAGCGCACTATGTCCGACTTTTAACGAGCAGAACAAGCATAAAATCGATACACTGATGATAAGAAACTTTTTGTTGGAAATTAAAACGCCGAATACATCAACACATTCGAAACTGAAATACAGATATTCGACACTTGGTGTAACAAAATCCTGCTACAACTAAATGAAAAAAAAAAGTTATAACTCAATTACCTTTACTAGAAAATGGAACATGCCCAATACAACAATTACCTTAGGACATCGGAATGTTGCTTGAGCTAGAGCTTGGATGACCGTACATTTCCGTGATTGCCGAGAATCAGCAAAATTGCACATAGCTAGTGTAGCCTTCGCTCCATGCTGTAAATATTAAATTAGATCTAAATAAAATTAGCACGAAATAGATCAAATCCATACGCCAAAATCTATGCCAGTAGCGAAACGACACTAGCTGATTTGCATTCAAATTGGAATGCCTCGCGAGTAACGCCACTCGACCTTGCGTAGTTTCTCCCAAGGCCGAGTCCAGGGAAACCTTCGGGAAAGTTGGGGAAAGAGAGAGTGTGGCTACACCCGACTTTGAACGAGTGGCCAACGATCAGAATAATCTCTCGCATTACCGATCTCGTTCGAAGAAGTCCGCGGGAAAATCGAACTTCCGTTAAGTTCGGCCGAGGTCACGGTTTCGCTTCACTTTCGTTCGAAGTGTGTCGTTTTGTTCGCGTTAAGGTATAGTTTTGTATAGTGAGTGAAAACAACGTGGTTTTACATTGTTTTTAAATTCTATTTTATCGTTGATTGTTTAGTTATAGCAAATCATAAGCTAAATGTAAAGTGCGGCATAGATTAGATTTTGTGTGCATAGAAAAACAATCTAGGCCAGGTAATGTGCTCGTCCAACAACATCTGTGCTTTGTGCTTAATATTAATTTCAACAGCCGACGACTACATCCAACTTCCGACGACATCACCTGCTTTCCCGGGGCGAAAGATCCCGGCAACCGTCACCTTGTCCGGTGGAAAGCGATTAAAATTCTCATCGCGTATCGGGGCTTGGTGGATACCAACTGCCATTGTTGGTTAGATCACCGTCCACCCACGTGGAAATCGTTGGCCGTCCAACGGTCGAACATCATCGTCGCTGCCGATAACAGCAGCGCAGCGAACTCACCAACTGTTGAGTCCGTTCCAATTTCTTTGTTGAGTGTGGCGTCTGGCGAGGGCGCCACGGAGGACCTTTTTTGCCGACCATAAGGTCGAAGAGCATATTTTGCTAATATGTGGACAAGTCCAATGATTTAATGATTGGATGTAGGCATATAAATCGTGCGCACGTATCGTCAGATATGGACGCCCACCCAACCCATTAATAATAGACACCCGGGTGCCAAGCTTCGTCGTTTCCCGCTTGCTGCATCGTCGTGGGATTAACCGAGAAGACAGAAAAGAGCACAGCACAGATAGGAGGTAGTTGTACCGAACGCACACAAGTATAGGGCTAGAAGCACAGAGAAGTAGAATAAAGAGGAATAGAAATACAAACAATCACAACAAATTCGCAAAAGCATGCTTTAGTTTAAATACAATAAAAATCAACTTACCGTTTTCCGTTCGTAAATAAATGTTTTGATTTGAAATCGATGTAATGTTGTTGATCAGTCATATCAAATATTAGAATGAGAGGAAGAAAGTATTTTTACGTTGTTTCGGGTCCGTGTAATTATGTTGTTGTCTTCCGCGTGGTCGGAATTTGACTGTTATGTTGCGTACCTCTTTTGCTGCGGCTGCGCCTCTGGCGGAATTTAAGTGAAGCTACCGATGAGGAGAACTTGACGTGGAACGTCGTTTAGGGTTTGTGTATTCTCTTACCGGGAGATTTTCAGAATTATTTCGATGTTGTGAGAGATTATGCTGTTTCGCAATAGGGGTTTCTACTCGATCAAATTCGGTAGTAGTCAAGCTGGCTCGATCTCTTCTATCTATGAAGATTTTCACTTGGACTCGCCCCTGAGGCAGTCTCATCCGGGCAAACTCAACGTGGCCTGCGGTCTCCTTTACCGGAGTGGCGCTTAAGCCGCAGGCTTAACCTAGATCGGCCAGTGTCGGCTACACTAGAAACGAATGGGGCCTGGGATGGGCTACCCAACTAACAATTTCCTCAATGTAAACGCTTTACTCATTTAATTTATACAGCCTCAAGCTGTATTCAAATGTTATACGATATGAGGAAACCTATACAAGCAAATCTGGCGAACTTAGTCAGCTACTTATGGTTGTTGGGACGGTTGGAACAAGCTCTTATTGCATATCCATTAACGCTTCTACACAGCTGTTATCCTGCTGTTTAGTTGTGTGTGAACTTGAAAGGCGCTTATTCAACCTTTTCCCGGTTATACAATAATCACTACACAGCTTTCTCTTGACGTCAGGTTAAATATTGTTTACGCTTTTTTTTTTTGTTAGAGGAATTTATCATGTTTGAATTAATCGAACTTAGTTATAAGCAACACCACCAAATTATTTACAATGTACCGGGACCTGGTATCGAACTCGAGACGACCGCATTGGCTTTGAACTGATGCAAAAAAAAATCAACATGCCCTTCTACAACAAAATCGCTGAGTAGAGGCTTTAAAATAGTGCACATGACTCACTTTTCTCGACTAGTTACTTCACCTTTGTAAATGAGCAGAGTAAAAACTGTAAAACTGCACACGTCTAAAAATAAACCTAGTTGCCGGTAAAATAGCTTCCAAAGTAGCGCTAACACAGTTTATTAGTTGAGTACAGGTTGTTTAGTTGTTGAAAAAGCACTTTTGATGTTTATATTATTCAGCAAGAGTGGTTGGTTTTGTAGAAGCCATCAAATAAGTAATATGTTCGCTTTATTAGCATTGTTTTGAAGCTAAAAGTGGAAAGTTGATGAACGAAATTTGATCTTGCTGTTGATTGGAGCCGCAAGCAGGGCAAAACCCAAGCTAGGATGGTGGCTACTTACATACATACATACATACATACAAAAGTGGAAAGTTGATGAATATTTGCCTAGAAGTGACATTAACGTTTGTTGGATGATGTTATTCAGTGCGACTGACAAATTGAATAATGGTTGTGAAAAAGTTGCTAGCTTCTGCTTGTAGCTGTATCGGAAGCTTTATTTCAACTACTTTACAGCACAACGCTGGAAAAGTTGGCTTATAAAGCTGAAAATGTTAGTTGGGAAGGATTGTTAGCTCGACATCCGTTACTACAAGATGATATAGATAGGGGTTTACCACCCATTGTCCGACAGCAGTGGGCTCTCTTCTCTGTATGAAGTAAAGAGCGGCGCAATAGGTTATAATACGCGGAAC